AGGAGACACTGATTGTGTGCGCAGAGGTGGAGCTGGTCTGGGGTCTGGCGGAGGTGCTGACTGTGTGCGCAGAGGAGGAGCTGGTCTGGGGTCTGGAGGAGGTGCTGACTGTATGCGCAGAGGTGGAGCTGGTCTGGGGTCTGGAGGAGACACTGACTGTGTGCGCAGAGGTGGAGCTGGTCTGGGGTCTGGAGGAGGTGCTGACTGTTTGCGCAGAGGAGGTGCTGACTGTGTGCGCAGAGGAGGAGCTGGTCTGAGTTCTGGAGGAGGTGCTGACTGTGTGCGCAGAGGAGGAGCTGGTCTGGGGTCTGGAGGAGGTGCTGACTGTGTGCACAGGAGTGACACTCTCAATGGAGGCTCTGGGTGGGGTGGCAGACGTGGTGGTGGGGCAGCCCTCGGGCTGCCGGCAGCACAGCACCCGCACCGAGTAGTCCAGGCACTTTCTCTGGGTCCCCAGCTGGTCCTGGTTCCGGCACAGCAGGCCCACGTCAGGGTCGCACAGCACCACCTGGCCCAGGCTCTCCAGGCTCGCTTCCGGGTAGCTCTCGGCCCGGCACTGCAGCCGAGTGATCTCCTCGGGGCGACTGCAGATCTGCTCTCCCGCCCTGAGGATGCGGCTGTAGGTTTCCACGTCCCCTCCATGAGGCCCGGGGACAGGGGAGTCCACGTTGAACCACTTGGTCCAGTTGCACTGTGGCTGGCACTCAGGGGGCACAGCTGAGGACTGGCTTGGTGGCGGTGTAGACACAGGTCTTGTGCTGGCTGTAGATGCAGAAGTGGTGCTGTGCCTTTGAGAGGAGGTGGTGCTGACTGTGTGCGCGGAGGAGACACTGACTGTGTGCGCAGAGGAGGAGCTCATCTGGGGTCTGGAGGAGGTGCTGACTGTGTGCACAGAGGAGGTGCTGGTCTGGGGTCTGGAGGAGGTGCTGACTGTGTGCGCAGAGGAGGTGCTGGTCTGGGGTCTGGAGGAGGTGCTGACTGTGTGCACAGAGGAGGTGCTGGTCTGGGGTCTGGAGGAGGTGCTGACTGTGTGTGCAGAGGTGGAGCTGGTCTGGGGTCTGGAGGAGACACTGACTGTGTGCGCAGAGGAGGAGCTGGTCTGGGGTCTGGAGGAGGTGCTGACTGTGTGCGCAGAGGAGCCACTGACTGTGTGCGCAGAGGTGGAGCTGGTCTGGGGTCTGGAGGAGACACTGACTGTATGCGCAGAGGTGGAGCTGGTCTGGGGTCTAGAGGAGACACTGACTGTGTGCGCAGAGGTGGAGCTGGTCTGGGGTCTGGAGGAGGTGCTGACTGTTTGCGCAGAGGAGGAGCTGGTCTGAGTTCTGGAGGAGGTGCTGACTGTGTGCGCAGAGGAGGAGCTGGTCTGGGGTCTGGAGGAGGTGCTGACTGTGTGCACAGGAGTGACACTCTCAATGGAGGCTCTGGGTGGGGTGGCAGACGTGGTGGTGGGGCAGCCCTCGGGCTGCCGGCAGCACAGCACCCGCACCGAGTAGTCCAGGCACTTTCTCTGGGTCCCCAGCTGGTCCTGGTTCCGGCACAGCAGGCCCACGTCAGGGTC